ATACAAATAATAAAATAAACAGCAAAAATATAATATAAAGCTGCAAACATACCTGTGTATTCTACCTTTAATGGGTACATTCCTGCTGAGTGCCAGTCAGCAATTCTCTCAGTGCTGGAGGCTACATATCCTTGTTGGTTAGGCTATTAGAACAGGCATCTGCAGCAGGAGTTTCATCGTCACTGTGTTCAAGGGATGTTGAATCTAGGTCACCGAGCAGCATGAAATGCCTTTCTGAAAGGAGAGTCTAATTAGTCTAGAGAAGTGTTTGTAGGTCCCTGCTTGGGTGTCCCAATTAACAGCTGGATGTAATTAAAACAGTTCAACTGGCAGGGGTTAACATACCCTGATGTGTTTTATGCTCTCATACTGACTCTACAAATCAGATACTTACATCTTACATCAGCACTATTTCCTTTTGCGGATGTATCTTGTCCCTGTAGATCTAAGCTGTATAGCAGAATGAAATATTTACCATCTTTCTCTACTGTCAGTTTTGCTTAAACACACTAAAACTCAAGTACTTGTCAGCACAGCACAACTCAACACAGCAGTTCCAGGTATTTCATTTGTTTGACAGTGTTCAGCATATTAAGAGTGATGAAGACCAGCTGGACTGGCTGTAGTCGTAACGCCGCAGTGTTCACCAGTGAGTGTTTCTGACGCAAGTGGAAACTACTCTCAAGTCTTTGCTAAGATGTTAAAGTGTTTGTCTTACAACTCTGACAGACTTGAATGTTGTAATATTTGAGTGTCCATGTGAATGTAAATGTCATACGATATTGTTGTGATGGTTCCAAGACTTCTAAGTAAGGATACCACTTTCATAGAAACACTGGCTGTCCCCCAAGAACACTGGAATCCCCTATTTTGATTTAGAAAACAACCAGTCAGTAGTCTCACAGTTATACTGTTTGTCTTTTGTAACTTCTGATATAGGAGTGTAGGTTGTAGTGTAGGTTCTAAAAATCAGACCTTGGCTAGTATTGGAATGAAAGGCTGAACACACAATTCTGCATTTAACATTGAGTTATTGTAACCTCATCAAAGATATTGGTGTCGATTAGCAGCCTGCTCAGGCAGATATTAGTCCATCGTGTTACTTATCTGTCTGCAAACTGTTTAAAAAGTATACAGTATTTATATTTGATCTCATCTAGTAGCAGTTATGTGAGGGACTGGTATGAATGGGTCAAACACAAGTATAAAACACAAGTTTCCTCTGTTAAACAAGATGATTGGTGTCAGCCATGAAAACAAACAGCCCACTGATTCCTGGCTCACTGAAGTGCCTGGATGTTAAGACGTAGGCAGTCACTTTCTGGTAGTCAGTTTCAGCTCAGACCCCGTGTCAGACACATTGTTGGCATGGGGTTTAAACTGTTTCAGGACTTACAAGTTGTGCAATCTCTACTCAGGACTTGACCATGTCCTGAGCTCGGGTTCTTCCACTCAGAACCGCAGTGTGTTCTCAGGCCTTATCTACTGTTTTGACAATTTTCACCCACAGTCCAAAGTAGTCTTGCTTAACTACTCTTCCTTGTTGTTGTTCCAAAGCACTGATGCCTTTTCCTTAATGATTGCTGATGAAGCTGTACTTTGCTTAAACTGAAGCCTCTTTGTGCAGTCACAGATGCTTATATACTTTATACAGTATACAACAGAAGTGAGTCCACCCCTGTAGAATATCATTTAAACGACAAATGATTCAACATTGTATCACCACTGAATATTTTGGATTATTTCGAAGTTGACAAGTGCAGTATTTCCACTTATACACAAACCAAAACAAATACTTTAGTGAGACTATATTGAAAATTCAAGCCCCAAATTACAAAAGTGCAACAAAGCTTTATGCACCTTTGGTCACTGACACATAAGTGCATGCTCTTTGGCATGAAACTGCAAGTGTGGATGTTTCCAAATGAAATGAAAAGACATGTGATTAATATTTAGAGCACTTTTTGGTCAAATGAACCCAAGATAAATTTGTTCAGCTCACATGGGGTCCAGCATGTGTTTTATCCTGACCAGGATGACCACAGTGAGTGCACAGTCCTGACAGTGAGGTATGGAGATTGGCGTGTGTTGATGTGTGGCCACATGAGTGCAAAAGGAGTTGGAGACATGACAGTTACTGATGGCGTTATGGATGCCCAATGATAAACCAAAATACTAGCTGATAAGATGACTCCTAGTCTCCAGAAGCTTGACAGAAGAGAATATTCTAGCACAATACAAAGCAAAGTGACAAAATTACGCAAGAGTCTCTAAAGAAGAAAAACTATGACTTGGTCTGAGAATTGAGGTTGTCATCAAAATAAAGGTGCACATATAAATGAAAGCTTTGAAATTCAGTAATGACTTCATTACATTAAGTTCCTACAGTGGAGCCTGTGTTCTTAATATAGTACATTTAAACTGTTAGTTTTGTATAAAAGCAAATATCAAACTGTTCAATTTAGTGGCATTGCAATAGTTAGGAGGTGATACAAGGTTGAATATTTGATATTAAAGTGATATTTCATCGGTGTGTGCTCACTTTTGATGTGTACTGTAATTAGATCCACTTTATTCCAAAGAACAAATCTCTTTAAATGCCATTTATGTCGCATGTATAATTACAGAATGTTGCAGCGTTTTTCGTAATACCGCTCATACCTATCGGTAAAACACCAGCGTCTGTCTTGTCCCCACTTTAGTGCAGTAAGTCATGTGGATCGGGCCACCGTCATCGAGTGTTGCAGTGTGTGGACCACAACCAGCAGGAGGTCCATGAGATGTACTGTGTGAACCAGATCAGGCCGCCACACATAGAGAGCTGCAACACCCATGCTTGTGAATCCATCTGGATCACAGGGGAATGGACGGAGGTGAGAGGCAAAAAAAAAAGCTGTGTGGCATTTAGATGATCAGTGAAAGTTTCAGTGTTTGGTTTAAATGGCAATACTATTCATAACCACTAATGTAACTCACCGTTTTTTAATCCAGTGACGCAGGAATGCCCAGAAATCACCCGTGTTTCCAGTGTTGTTATTTCATGCTGGTGATTTATTCTCTCCTCCAGTGCTCAGCCAGCTGTGGCCAGGGATACCGCCAGCGTCTGATCTCCTGCAGTGAGGTGCATGTGGAGAATGACAACTATGAGTACGGCCATCAGTCTTTGTCCAACTGCCCTGGGACCCCCCCTGAGAGCTACATGCCTTGTAATCTGGACCCGTGCCCATCGTCCCAGGAGTGGAGGGCTGGAGTCTGGGGACCGGTGAGCGAGTCTATGCTTCTCAACGTTGTCTCATTCATTTGTCTGCAAGATGAGACATGCATGGTTGTCACATTCGTTTTTAAAATATAATCAAAGGCCATATTTTTGTAAAAACAAAAGTTGTTTTTGTGTGGTTGTGCTTCATGAAAGACTTAGTTTTGCAGCTAAATAAAAGATAAAACCATTTTCTGTCATTATTCAGCCTTCCAGTTGTAAAATACAGTACATTTGTGAACATTAATTGCTAATGCTGATCTGTCTGATCTCTAGAGGCACAAGTATGGATTTTATTTGTCTATTTCAATATTTTCTTTTACATAAATAAGACAACATTTGGTGGATTATAAGCTGAAACATGAAAAGCTTTGACCTGTATTGAGCCTAAATGATAAATACTCTTTTTTCAAACTGTCACTGTGACGATAACAATTTCTGACAAACTGTCATCCGCACGTTTAAGTTTGCTTCTCTCGCTTCCCTTCAGTGTTCAGTGAGCTGTGGGGATGGAGTGATGGAGAGGACGTTGCGGTGTGTCTCAGCAGATGGTCAGCAAAGCAATAGGTGCTCTCAAGATGCGAGGCCACAAGCCAGAAAAGTCTGCAGGAATCCAAGCTGTGAGTGCTGCAAGAAAATTGCTCTTTTAACCAATGTCAAGGCTACCAGGATTAGATACAAGCCAAATGAAAGCATCTCGAATTCCAGTATTAGGTATGGCTCAACACAAACTGGTCATCTCAGAAATTTGGCCTTTAGTGAAATATTTATGAACCGAGGCCAGCATCAAAGATTTGCTGTTCAGTGTATTTACTTCCCTACGGTACTATGGGACATCAAAGAGTGAGTGGCTGTTGGTTTTCTTTGATTCGATGAAGTGATTTGCCACACTTGACTTAACTGCTGAAATTTGTGAAAGATGTGCACACATCTGTGTATACAGCCTGAGTGCCTGTCCTGTGTTAAATCGTTGGATAATACACTCCTGAATACTTACTTATTCCTGCTTCTTTTTGTGTCTCAAGGCCATTTGCCTTCGAGCTGTCAAGACATCCAGAGCATTAGTGGCCCCATCCCAGACAGCGAACACTTTCTCAGCATTCAAGGAAAAGCACTCAAGGTAAGATAATATCATCCTTTTACCTCACCAGTACACAAAGCACAGCTTGTGAAGCCATAACAGGTTTTATTTATGGTGAGGAACAGACACTTGTTAAGGTTTCTCTCTTGACATTTCGAATGTCTTAAACACTAACAAAATGTTTTGCTGTGCTGTTTATATGTTTCTCTGTGCTTAAAATTAATCTCTGCTCACATGTGTTTAGGCATACTTTTGGCACTGTGGCTTTGTGGAAAAAAGCTGCAAATAGATGCAGCGCATTTCATAACACGCAGTCAGAGGAAATTCTTTCACTGCCTTCAAAATGACTTTGCAGAGTAGGCCAGCTCAGGTCATTTTAGGGATTGAGTGCATTTTGCGTTTCCAATACACACACAATCTTCTGCGTTTTCTGAGGCCTTGAAATTGCTGTTGTAACATTTCCAAATCTGCACCTTCTCTGTACTTGGCTATTTTTCTCTACCATCTTATCACCTCCATGCCTTTCTTTTGCCCTTGCTTCCCCACTCCTCCTCCTCCGTCTGGTCTCCCACCTCTACTTCCCCTTTTACTCCTCCTTTGCCCTTTTTTTTTTTCTTCTCAGGTCTACTGTGCAGGAATGCAGACAGAGACTCCACAGGAGTACATCACCTTGACGACCGGCGAAGGGGAGAATTTTTCTGAGATCTTTGGCTTCAGGTAAACAGCTAACAGGATAACAATGAGAACAGCCTGTTTCATTACAACAATCCAGCGGAATCCTGGCTGCATTTTTTTCCCCGTAAATGAAGAAATTGCATGGAAGTGTAAAGCGCTAAAGTATCTTCTGTGTGTGTGTGTGTGTGTGTGTGTGTGTGTCTTTCCCAGGCTTAATGATCCCACCCACTGTCCAGCCAATGGTTCCAGAAGAGAAGACTGCGACTGTCGAAGAGACTACACCGCTGCCGGCATCACCACCTTCTCCAAAGTGCGCCTGGACCTCAGGAAGATGAACATCATCAGTGAGTTGCCCACACTCTCAGCAGCATCCTGTGCCAACGTTAACTCGACATTACTCTGAAATAAGAGCTTCCTTTGCCGTTTAATTATGTCCGTGTTCACGAGGGTTAATGGGCTCAAGATGTCTTCAAGGTTCATTTAAGCAACACAGAATTACAAGGCTCGAGGGGATGAAGTGAAACTGCTCTAACTAGACAGAATCACACTTGTACTGTACATTTGGCTGACCTTAAAACGAAGGCATGCTTTATTGTAAACAGCATAAGATTTGGTCATTATGGCAGACGCAGGCTATCATTATAAAAATTTCAGTGACAAATTTCGAGAGAGAGATTTTCATGAATGACTAGCTTGTTGCTTCATCTTGATGTTTAGCTACAGACTGGAGGTTTGCTTTCACCCGTGAAGGCAAGAGTGTCCCGTTTGCTACGGCTGGAGACTGCTACAGCGCCGCCCGCTGTCCACAGGTGAGAATCATGGCAGCTTTTAGGATTATTTTTTAACTTGTCACAACAGGAAAAGTGCACAAGTAACAAATAACATCAGTGGTGACTCAGTTCCATGAAGTGGAACCACTCAGATGAGTATAAAAGCAAGACCTTTAAAGGAATGTAGATGCGATTAGTGTTATTAATTATACCTGTGCTTTTCCTGCTAGGACACGTCAAAAGGTCTAATGTGACAGAAGCGCTAATAGCAATCATGTCATTTCATGCCGAGATAGATTTGGAATACATTCTTTGGAATCATCCAAAAACCAACAACCTTTCAATTTTGCAGCTCGGCTGATGTCCTGTTTTCTTTGACAAGTGCGCTGCTTTGTTCACATAGTTGAGTCTTATGCTGTTCTTTTTGAGTTCTGTGTTCTGTGCTGTTGTGTATGTATTCTCTTGTTGAATTGTGTGCATTTTAAAGACTGTATAGCATGTATCATGGGTCCATGCTTGTCCATCCTTGTCCTCATACAAATAAATGCATTACAACATTAAGTTATTTCCTTTTAAGTATATTTCACTGTCATATTGTATTCATATTTTCTGTCTTCTTTTAGGGCCGGTTTAGGATCAATCTGTCAGGAACAGGTTTCAAGGTAGCTGAGGACACCTCATGGATCTCCCAGGGCAACTATGCAGTGGCTAATATACAGAAATCACAGGTAATTTGTCACATCCATGTCCATTAAAACCAAGAGAAAACTCACAAAATGACAGCAAACACATGACAGGGTATCCAAATATTCAGTATCATTTATGTGACAGAAGGAGAAAAGGCCCTCCTTCCTCTCCCTCATGTCCTCTAAGCTTTAAACCACCAGATGGGCAGAACCCCAAGTCGGGCCGGTGTTCCCAGCTCCACTTCTAACCATAAACCTGCTCAGAAAGGATCTCTATTGGGCAGCTGCTCTCTCAAGTGCCTCCCCACCCTCCACTTTTGAAATGGAGATCAGGCTTGAGAGCACTTTTTGGCAAGGCAAAAACAGGAGGAGGTGGGGATGCCAAAAAGTGCTCACAGTCTGACATCCAAAGCCAGCTGGCCCACTTTGGGCACTCCAGGCAGTTTAACTAAAGCCTGGTTGTGACAGTGGGATGGAGACAGCACTCCAGTGAAGATCAGACAGACCACTTACAGCACGCTGTGGCTTTCATGTCGTGGGATAGTGATTATGGTGTACTCGCCTGATGCGATTTTCTTTTTATTTGTAGATGTTTGTATGAAACCGCCACTATGTTGCATGCAAATGATGCTATTGAAGTGCTTGGGAGTAATTTGCTTGTATTTCTCTGCTTGTTGTTGAGGGTGATTATTACCCAATTCATACCTGGAGACAGCCGGCTTGGTGGGCCTCAGTCTTTGTGTGCCTTTTAGAAAGGGAAATCAGATTCCAGAGCCACCAAAACAACCTCGCCGCAAATAACTTTCCAAGTGGTGAAACTGTCAGACTTCCAAGTAGAAGTTCCTCCACTGTTTTTGTTAACAGATTCTTAAAATAACTTGCAGGTGGAAAATACTGAAAAGATTTCTACAACACAGGGGGAAAAACACAGCAAGATGCGATGCTGATGAAAAAATTTACATTTGGTTTCTGTTTCTGCTCCTCAGCATTATTACAATACTTAAAATTCTTAATTTTTTCTGCATGTAAAATGAAATTCCTGCAGCAGAGTCTGACACCATGTTATTCCTCTTGTGTCCTCAGGATGGCAGCAGAGTGTCAGGAATGTGTGGAGGCTACTGTGGTAAATGTACACCGTCCTCTGGCCGCAGTCTGCCTGTAACAGTGGAATAGATCTAAAGCCATCAAACAGGTGTGGGATGCATTAAACGTGCGGTAACAGTACATATATGGATATCAAATGCTTTAAATCGCAAAAACATCGAACTTTCTATTGTCTGATCTTTGTACTACTCTGCTGATTTATGAGCTGTTAATGACTGATTGAGTGTTAATGCTGCTTGTGTGTCTCTTTTTTTTCCCATTAATCTCATCTTCAGGTGCTCATCATGTGAACACATCACTCCTCTTTGGTGCTACAGCCAACACTGAGCTCAGATCCATCCTCCACATAACCTCTTTTTAATCCCTTGTGTGTATAGTGTAAAGTAATCTGGTGTAAGTACTGTAAATAGCAGGATGAAATGTCTTATTTATTGTACTCGCCATTTATTTTTGTATTGTTATGTAATTTAAGGGTTGCAGTAGCATACACCAAACAATTGCCATGTATGAGATTTTTTTTTTTTTTTGTTGCCAGAATGTGCCTTCCATTTTGTATATAAGGCTATTTAACTGTTGTAGTGCTGTCATTATTCCACATTGCATGTGTTGCAGCCATTTGTTTCATCCAGTAATGTTATTGTTGTGATGGTCACCAGTCCTGTGGTTCCTATGCAGTGAGGTGTCTCCAAGCAGGGTGGTAGAGATATCCAGTATAACCACTGATTCTTTACTTTTTTTTCGTTCGGTTTCCTACTTCGAATGTATTTCTTAGCCAGATGTGACAGTCAGGACTTCCTAAATTGTACACAATTATTACATTAAGTTTGTCAGACTGTGTTACTTCCACTTACTTTGCAGCAAACTACAAATTTCATGTACACCTCCTCCAGGTTTACTCGGAAAATACTGCGTTTGTAACCAATCAAATCCAAAAGCAGGTGTCCCAAACCGACTGCACTGTGTTCTCGTTGCTCCGTCTGCATCTGTCCAGCTGTTGTGTAAGGTTGCAGTGCTTTTACACACTACAGGAAAAGGCCAGGTGTTGCTGCCACGCTGCTTTGGTAGTTTGAAGCACTTTTAACCGAGTGTAAGCAACCTGGGAACGAAGTCAGTTCAGTCGCTAAATAAATACAGTTTAGAATGTGCAGGAGGTTTACCCGTAGAACAAACACGCCGAGGCATAACGCACACATTAGTGGATCATAAGGAGAAGAGTATAGGTTGCAACAACCGCAGAGATTATGCTGCCAGACATCAGAGACCTAAATTCCTGTGTGTTCCTGCATTTCTCTCAGCTGGCGTGCAGTGACCAGGGGGAGCCATTAGCCTATAGCTTTTACAGAACAGTCAGGTTATCTTGTCTGCAGCAACTTGAAAGAATCCACAACTTCACCTCAGGCCAATAAAATTCTAGTAGATGCTCTGGAGATATAATACAGTGATGCGACCCTGGAGACACCTCTCAAACTGCTGAACCTGCAGGCCCTGCAGCGTGATTTCTGTCCAGATGCTGCTTGTAAACCGTTGCCTCCCGTACCTCACTTTCTGTTCTCCATCTTTGTTTGTAACAGTCTGTCCAAACTGTACATAAGCTCCCGTTCAGAGCGTTTTGTTCATTGTGAAGATATCAGGGTACTTTTTTAAAAATGTTGTGTACAAGTATGTTTTTGTATCTCTTTCGCCAGCGTTCTGCGTGATCGCAAGCTGTTTTCTTTATTTGCAGAAGAATTCAGAAAGACATTATTCTTTCTATCCTTTAAATGTAGATTTGTAGTGAACATTGTATATGTACAAGAAGCCATATTTGCTGTTGTAAGTCGTTCCGTATGGTGCTACATCAGTGCCTTAAGTGATAATGTGCAGACTTTAGCCAAAGGGAATTCAACACAGATTTAATCTGCAACTAAACAAGAACAAAAGACACAGGGAAGAAATATATTTAGTGTCTTACTGACAGTCACAGCTGACAAATGCACTTCTCATTGTAAATGTCAGAAAGTAGTTCAGCCGACAGATTTCTCAGGTGTCATAAATGAAGGGATTATTATATTTAAATGTATTTATCTTGTTTTTTACACATTTGCCACATGTTTATCAGGCAACTGAATGTGTATTATTGGCATTTAACAATGTAAAGTCTCTTTATATATTCTTTATTTTATATGCAAATATTTATTTTACCTTTCCTTGTGAATGTACATAAGCCTTGGCCATAGTGACTATGGATTGCTATGCAGTATTGCCATGAAATGAACCATCTGGCAGCACATTTCTTGTTTTATGAATGCATTTATTTATACATATACATATATGTCATATTTGCATAAACTGTATAAGCAGAGTTTGGTGCTGCCATATGAAAAGGATGATTTATGGATGAGACCAGATAAGGCAATGATTGGAGAATAATAAAATGCCTGACACGCGTCGCACCTGTCCGTCTGCTTTTCACGCTAATATATCATTTTCCCCTAAACCTCGCCCTTGCTGTGTCATTGACTGTGATACTGGCTGTAAAAATCATGACAAGATGATAGTGTGGTTAATGTTTAGACCATAAAATTCTTGCTCCGTAACACTTCTGCTTAATTATGATTACCTCCTTTACACCATCATAACAGCCTGGCTTTCCAGCTGACGGATGTGTTTTATGGATCTAATCTCTTCTCTGTCTTTGTTCATTATAGTGAATTATCAGGCCATCTACCAGGTGTCGGCACACGTCCCCCTAAATAAATATAATTTATTGCTGAACAGACTCAAGCGGGGGAAAAAAGCAGAGGGACTGATCTTTATTGGCGTCAGATTTGTGTATCCAATTTGGTAATGCAGTTTGAAGATCCACTCCAGACATTATTTTAAGACTATTTCAACAAAATACTCTGCTTTAGTCATTTGTGTTTCATATGTTTAGGTTTTTTTTTGTTTGTTTGTTTGTTTTTCAATATACAGATATATTTCTTTTCAAGAGATAAATCCAGGATGTCTCCTTTCAGTGCTGGGCATTTAAAAATTCTTTGACCTGTGATTGACTTCCAAATGAGTTGTGACGCCACACAGTTATCTTGTGCACACACATCTTAAACTCACATTTAAAAAAGAGCGTAGAGAAACCATCTTCAGCAGATCTATTAGTCTGCACAGACACTCAAGCATCCAAATTAAGTAAAAAGATGAGTCAAAATGAGCTAAATTAAAGCTGCAAGCAGCGATGATCGGGTCCTTGCTGCATGATAGCCGGATGTCGTGAATGTCAGGGTGTCTGGGCTGGACTGTGATCCAGTGCATCGAGTTCCAGGCAGATCGGAGCACGTGCGGCTTAGTTAGGCGCCACTTCCTGTTCAATGGCGAGCCATGGCGACAACGCACTCTGGCCAGGACTCGGAGCATGTGTGTAAAGTTTAAGGCAGATTGGGGCGCATACAGGCCAGTTATACAGCACGTCCCATTTTATGGTGTTTTGGCGAAATTCGGACTCAGACTTTTGCAGAGCATTTTAATAACTTTTAATCACCATGTCCTGTAGTTGGTGCTGGCCAAATTTCAGGTGTGTATGACGTTCCCCCCTAGGAGAAGATTGATGTTGAAAATGCCCGAAAATGAGCCAAACTTGGCCGAAGTGCTCGCCATTTTTCCAAAACGACAGACCTCCTTTTGGGTTTAGGGAATTGCCCTGGTGACTTGTTTGTGCGTCCCGACCTGCTACATATGCCGACCAAATTTCGCAACTCTAGATAAAAAAGCGTAGTCCCGATGGCACTCCCTGGAAGTTCTCTAGGGGGCATTTTGCCATTCACATGCCCAGTTTCTTTAAAATACCTATTTTTTTGCCAGTCCTGATGTGCGTGCAAGTTTTGATGCGGTTTCGAGCATATGTAGGCCCTTCAAACTGCATTTCTTTTGGCTGGAGAAGAATAATAAGAAACCCAAGGGTTTCAAGAGGTTCCTTGTATTCTTCGAACCCTAACAATAATGTTTTTGAGTGGAACAATCTTTCCGCATGTTTCAGCATTTCATGAACTATAAGAAAACATTGCAATCTAAGTTTTTTTTTTTTTTACAAATGAAAAATCTAAATCATAATTTACAAAATACATTCTTGCCCAATGTAATACACTTGGTTTCTTCAGTTTTGTTTAGCCGTGTATCAATAATATCTGAATAACAGATTGTGGAGTTATTTCACTGACATTCTTCTCCTTTAAAGTAGCAACCGATGTTTTATAGTTGCAAACAGCGACCACAGTGTTCACTGGAGCTTTAACTGTAAAACTCAAAGTCAGCACACGTCTGTCATCGTATATGTAACTTCTACGTGGAGCAGAGAACAAAATGCCAACTGTGTGCCAGGATGAATATGCATCAAAGTAGCACTGACTACATTACACCAAGCTTACAGGATCCAAACTTTCATGCTGTGTCGGTAATCTCAGGTGAGCCGTAGCGACGGGAGCCAAGCAGTCAATTTGAGACTGACTCTTGAAATGTCTGTCAACAGTCTGAGTAAGCTGCTGCTTGAGAGTGGCTGTTACATGAGGGATAAGGAAAAGTGTGAAATGAAAAGAGTGGCAAGGAGGAACGGGAAGCTTTCAACAGCTCGGAGGCTTGTCTGAACTTAAGTGTGAGATTCAGATGCAGATTTGCAAACATGCCGGCGGTCAGCGTGCAGAAAAACTTTTTTCTTTCTTGCGTTAACATAAAATCTGTCACAGCAGGTTTGCATTACATCAGATATGATTGAAAAATAAGCCACTGACTTACAGGCAAGTCTTCTGTCCTCAGCAGATGTGTCCGAATATATGCAATCAGCTCGGTTGTGCTGTTCAGTTTCATCCATGCTGAAAGTTACGATGAATTTCTCCAAGCGTGCTGAACGTGCAATTAATACAGCAAAGACAAATCACTTCTTTCTGCCGCTCTAGCAGGTTTTCAGCAGCACATCTGATCAAAAGAGCGAAGGGTCACCAAGCATCTCAGGAAAGGAAATGGTTTAGTTTAGTTGATGGCTCGTGTCATATGTTGTCGATGGACCTTTGAACCTTTAATGTGTATTTGACCTCTATACAATGTGTGTCTCCATAGACTCACTATCATCCACTCACACTGCTTGTATTCTTTCTAAGTTTGCAGTTTTCCCCTGTTGTCTTCAGTGATTTTCAGCACTCCTGCAGCTAAATGCTACAAAGCGCAGCCTATATTTTACCCCCACCCTGATATGCATCGCTCGAAGAAAGTAAGGGTACTGCTATCTTTCACTGAAGAACAGGCAGGTGCGACTCTGAATTATGCAACTGCCGCTTTTAATGCTTGCAAGAGCTTGTTCTTATCTCTAAATGTCTTTGGATTTGTGTGCAGGTGTGTGAGTAAGACAGAGAGGGGTGGGTGGAGATGCCAGTGTACCAAGCAGTAGCTCTGAAAATGTAAATGTCAGATTCTTTCACTGTTTTTGAATAAAATGAGCTTCGTTGTTCTCCAATATACTCATACTGGGCTCCATCTCTCTGTGTATCCCCTCCCTCTATATTCTAGTGAGTACAATATGCAAGTTTTTTCTTTTTCCACACCAGTCTAACAGACCTTCCCACAAGGATTAGAACAGTGATCTAAGCTGCCGTGAGCTTGAGGCTGTACTAGACGTTCCCAACACTTCTGAATGTCATGTCCAGCACCTTGGAAGTACTGCCAATTGAACCCAAATCCGCCCTTACAGACTTCTGCAGGTCTGAAGTTCACAGGCAAGATATTTGAGATAATGTGAGTTAAAATGAAGGGAATTAGAAGTCCTGGAGCAAGAGACACTGTTTCCTTTCACGACATTGAACGTCGGCAGCAAAAAAAAAAAGGACAGATATCAGCTGACTGTACTGACGCTCCGTTGACTGTACGACCAAATAAGGAGCTTTTCTCAGCTTCCACCTAGTTTTTTTTTTTTTTTTTTTTTTACATTGCTCCTGGAAATAGCATGAAAGCTGTTTTCAATTCTGTGTTTAGACTCTTAACTTAAGACCTAATGAGGGGAGTTTTAGAGTTGTGAGTCCCCTGGGTCAGCTCCCCCTGCCATCATTATCATCATCATTCCTAAAGGTAATCTGGGATGGCTTTGAACTGATACTTAGCAGTAAGCCTCGGGCCTGCATGCACACACAACTAATTTGGATGCCCAGATACTGTAGCTTATGTGTTTATCTGGAAAGAGCGCATGTCTGTGTGCCTGCATGTAGATTTTATGTGCGGATATGTTTCCTGTTCATTCCTTTTCTGTCACGCCGCCATGATTTGACTCCAGACTCCTGATGTGTAACAAAGATGTTTTCATCTTTTTTTGTTTTTTTTGGTTCTTTTGCTGCTTTCATCCGCTGCTGCAACTGAGTGTCTCAAGGTTGCCTGTCCGTCCTTGAGACGAAGCAGAGATCTTCTCACAGTTTCTCCGTCTTATTCTCAATTCAGCTCATTTTGTTTTCATGTAGCAACACCTGCACTGCTGTCTGTCTTCATTTCTCACTCCTGCCAAAGTGATAGAAATGAGCTGCATGGTAACAACTTGCCAGAATAAACCAAACATTGTATGAGTGAATGATTTTTCAGGAAGAAAAAAGTATTAACCAAGAATTTAAAAAACCACAGGACACAGTTTTGGCTTAAAACATCTGCTTCCAGACACTATCTCATGCCGTAGAATGCAGAACCCTGTAATTTGACTTTATTAAATAGCTGTGCATGATCACGCTGTCTGCTTCCAAATTGAGAGTGGGGCTGCGTTAGGCAGCACTGACAGCTGTGCAGCCTTGCCACTTCATTTAAAACAGAAATAAAAGAAAATAGATAATCTGCGTCCAATAGAAAGAAATATAAAACACCACCCACAACTGTGCGTGACAACCTTTCCGCATTGTTGTGCACGTCTGAACTTTATTGGCTGACAGAGCAGCGAAAATTGGGTATTGAATAGGACCTTGGGCGAAATGTGTGTCTAGAAATAATAATAATGGAGGATAAGCACATCTTGGTAAAGCTGCCTGTGAGTCAGAGCGCTCTCACACTGATGTTGTGCCACTTGGGCTGAAAAGCCTTTTCTCTGATGATAAATAGCAGCCACTTGCTGGAGAGAGTCAACACTGTCAGACCACAGGGAAGAAAAACACCCAGTGAGGCTCATGACTGAAGTTTCTATTGAAGAAAAAAAAAAAAGAAGAAGTTAGGAATTAATCTTTTCTAGGCAAACGTGAACACAGACAGGAGTATTGACAAGGATGTTTCCAAGTCAGTTTCATTTTTGTTGGATGGTGACTCAGTGATGACATAAAAGGAGGAGGTGTTTAACCATTTTTTTTTAGAATTATTATTATTAATCTTTTGGCATGGGGACGTTTTGAACTTCATCGTGAAATAACAGGAAGTGAAAACAGTGTTTGAAGGAGACATAAAACAT